TTCTAGCTAAATAGAAATGAGACTAAAATCTGATGATTTAGATGGCTGCCTTCTTATTTCTTTTAATTTAAAAACAACTGATTTTTTAAAAACATTCAGAATGGGCAGAAAACCTGGTGGATATCCATGGTCTGTTTCCGTATTGTATAACCCATGTAGATATATAAACCTAATAAAATCTAAGAGTCTGCACCATGATTTTATACAATACAGAGTCAAAATAGGGCAGCTTATTTATTAAAGCTAGAAGCAGCATTAAACCTCATATTTGGTAGAGGATTGTTCAGTGCTTACTAATGGTTTTCCATTTGCCTAACAAATACATCACACAATAGATGTTCACAGAAACATGCAGTTAATATATTCTGCAATGAAAATTAGCTTTTTATTCAACAGAAGCTTTTGTTCTGTCTATCCTTTCTGTACAACTGTATATGTTATTACCAGCCGTCAACAGAGTCTCTTGGATTCACCTTCTCCAAATGGGAATTGTCAGAGGTTATGTATTTCTTCCCAGAACAGGAAACAAGCAGTTTGTTTAACAATCAATTTGTACCTCTTTACCAGGAAGGGATATCACTTGGGAGTCACTCACTGTCTGACAATTACAAACTGATAAAACTTTTGCTTCACCGAAGCTCCAGTGAAGAGGTAAAACACGTCTGCAGTTGGGGTATTAGAACACCAAGGGAATAGTGCTAGGAAAAAAAAATCAGATTCAAAGCTTTTATTAGCACTAATGAATAAAGAAAATGGATCATTATAAACTGTGGACACAGTTTGTTCAGCTGAACAACAAAGCTGATTTACTGAAAAAGTTTGTAGTGATATAACCAATCATAAACTGCTAAATAAACAAGTAATCTATGTAATTCAAATTTGGTTAAATGAATTCCAGACATCGCAGAAGTCTTGCTCAATAGCCCAGAGGCATTAAAGAGCCTTTTGAAGGACTATTTTCTCTAGAAGAACCATCAAATGCAGTCACTCTTTGCATTTGTTTCTTTCATTGGTCTTTGATCTATTCTTCTTTCTTGACAACAGTAATTAATTATCCTCATTCAAGAAAGACCTCATGTATTGAGTTTAGACTGAGGGACCATAAATACATTAAGTTGATACACCATATATTCCACTTCCTAATATTTCTGTTCACAGATAGCTAATCTCAGCCCTTTATCCTCAACTCACCCTCCATTTTTGCTCCCCCCACTAAAGAAAATAGAGTATTTCCATAAAATGTCTAAAGTATTATTTTATATCTTGACAAAGCAGACAAACTTTTTTTTTGTATTTATTTCACTCGTTGGTCAGTACAATATGAAACAAATGTCTATGGAGATTCTTAGTCACCCAGGTAATGTTGTCCCAAAGGTGCTTTTTCAAGACGCAACTGGACTTTCTGGTTTTTCTTTGAAGACGTTTCACTTCTCATCCAAGAACATCCAAGTTCTTGGATGAGAAGCAAAACGTCTTCAAAGAAAAACCAGAAATTCCAATTGCCTCTTGAAAAAGCACCTTTGGGACAATACCAAACAAACATAATCAAAATTACCATAATGCTTCTGTGTTTATTTCTAGTTTTTACATATTGTTTGTTGATTATTTTTTGGATTATTATTACTTTCTTCCTTTATTAACTATTTCATTTCAATGTAAGTTTAGAAAGATGGGAACTATATGCTGCTGAAGGTTAGTTTCAATTGGAGCAACTGATACACTGTGGAAAATAAATAAAAAACAGAGTCTAGACTGTGAACCTTTCCTATTTATTTGTTTCCACGATTCAGCAAGGCAGTGAACAGGAACATCAAAAAGCAAAATATGGAACAAAGCCTAACAATGAATAACCAACAAACTATTATAACCTTGAAATCAATCCAATGAAGGCAATGACAATCTCAAAAGGGTATTTAGAATGGGCTAGGAAGATTGCTCTTCATACTGTGAATCCATGGCTGTATATAGTCACTGACGGTTGCTTGCAACCCTGTTGTATTTGCCAGTTGTTTCAAGATGAATGTAAAAGACATGGGACTTGGGGAGGATCATCCAACCTGAGAAAGCTCCACTGAGAAATACTGGTATGGGGAGGTGGGGGGGGCAGAGTGTACTAAAAAAAGAGGGCTATTATCTACTGCTTAAGAGTCTCCGAAGAAGTTCATGGAAAGAATTAAAAACTTCCTGGCTTTTCTGACAGGAGGAAGGGGAAGTATATACTATATTTCCCACTTGAAGTCCAGTAATAGCAAGGAATTGGTTCCATCAGGAAATCAACTGCAACTTTGGGGAGGCATGGAGTGCTTTGCCTGAATAAGGCGGTTGTCCTTTGTACCAAAGTTTTCCCACCTAGCCAGGTTCTTCCATAAAAGAGACCAGGAATGAAGAGTCATTTGTGGTGTCAGTTGTTTCAGCATCTGTTTCAGCCTTTGAACTTTTGGGGGGATTGGGATCTTACTTACTTACTTACTTACTTACTTACTTACTTACTTACTTACTTACATGACATTTATGCTGCCCATCTTGCCAAAGTGACTCTAGGTGGTTTACAGTCATATAATGTCATTCAGCCAAGGAGATTTCCACTCAGGCCTTATAGGAAAAGTTCCTCATCCTTTAAAGAGGGCTAACCATGGCTCAGAGGAATGCCAGCTGGAAAGTTAAAAACAAGCAAATAAACCTATCTACAGGGGCTTCCTCAGCTGAGGTTGACATTTGAGACTTGCCTCTTTGAAGAGGGAAGACCAAAAGGCCAGGACTCCACAGCTGGCTTATCTTTTTTCTTGATGGTATAATTTGATTTATAGTTTGACAGACAGAAGCTTCAAAGGGTTTTTTTAAAAAGCTGTAGCCCTGAGAGCTTAACTCTTGAACCTGCTTGACTGCTTCCTGCTTCTTGCTTCTGAACTAAGAAGGGGCCTCTGCCACATGGCTTTTCCTGTGTTGTGTGAATTTACCCATCTGTGGTTTAAGCAAGCCATGATTAATCAAATTATTGCTTAACATGGTGTGTTTCTGCCTAAAATATAGCTTCTTAAATATCTGCCAGTCAGTGTCCATCACTTGATCTATAAATCTATTGACTGATGTACTTATCGCTATTGGTGCTATGGTACCTTGCATAATCTATCAGAAACTTCACAACCGAGACTGGCATCTCTTTAGTAAATATGTATTTTTATTACTATACATAAGCTTTAACTTATTTTTCAGGAGTTGGCATCTTTCATTACCAGTTGTTATTATAGTATGTCACAACAAAAATAAATGTACTGAGTGTGGATCGTTTCCAAGATGGTATCTTGTGATTTGAACTATTATACTGTGTAAATGTGTATTCTGTATCTTGCTTACTACTTGCATGAAATGTGTGAAACAGCTGAGTTGCTTATATCCTAATTTTATGTCCACATAGTAGCTTTTGGACATAATGGATACACAAACTATTGTTTTTAATTTGTTATTATTTCACAGAAAATTTGCTGGCAACATTTCAGCAATTATGCTGGTTCAAAATAAAATTGATTATGTCTGAATGGTGATTTGAATGATCTGCCATTGTTAAAATAAATTATTAACAGAACTTATGCGACTTAATCAAAAGCAGCTCATGAGGTTCTTCAGTATGTAGCATTGAAAACCACAAAACCAATGAAAAGAATAAAATTGTTGTCAGAATTAGAAATAACAAGGAAGAGTTAGGCCTACATGTTATTTTTATAGCTGTGGCTTTTTTTCACTAGGATCTCTCCAAACTGCTTCCAAAGAAGAATTGCATCAGAAATTGATTATCTTAAGAGTGTTCAATTGGTATTTCCAGAATCCTGGATCACTGCTACTAATCTATCCCAGAATTGCACACATCAGTTATTCTAGTTCATGACTAATACCATTTTCAACCAAGTGAAAGGAATTAAGTCAGTGGTGAAATTCAATTTTTTTTTACTACTGGTTCTGTGGACATGGCTTGTTGGGCGTGGTGGGCGTGGTGTGACTTGGTGGGTGTGGCTTGGTGGGTGTGGCAGGGGAAGGATACTGCAAAATCCCCATTCCCTCCCCACTCTGGGGCGAGCCAGAAGTGGTATTTGCTAGTTCTCCAAACTACTCAAAATTTCCACTACCGGTTCTCCAGAACCTGTCAGAACCTGCTGGATTTCACCCCTGGATAAGTTCACTTGTGAACCACCCCTCCCTCCCTCCCTCTTTCTCTTCTGAGACAGAATGAGCTTTACTTGTATTTACTTTAATATGTGATAAACAATTCCTTTCCATCCAGCTGAATAGGCACAGGAATTTGAGCTAAAACTATTCTTTGATGGTACCACTGATCTTTCACCATTAAAGCCCATTAAACACCTAACCAAAGTTCACTAAATGGCTAGAGGCAAATCATGTGTCTCCTGAATTTACTGCAATAGTTCAGTCAAAAAACCTCTGAATTTAAACAACTTTATTTTTTCCTGTGCTTGATACATATCATGCGACTATTTTGAAGAAATGCTGTAATAGGACTGGAAGCTATTTTAATTTTCAACTGCAGTAGTAGCAACTGTAGTCCCAAAGCTTGAAATGTCATTTAAAAACTGTCATATCTGTTGTAATCTATTTATCTATGCATCTTTTTTTAGCCAATGAGGTGTGGATTTCTGAAAAAGAAACCTGCCTTTAAAAAAAAATCTTCCAATGCTGACAACAGCAATAGCCACAACATGATCTTGATAGGTGTCAATATATTTATTCAACATGCATTATCAGACAGCTGTAACCCCCATATAAAAAACCGTTTCAGAACATTTAAGTCACTCAGCAAATGAATATGAATTTTAGACTACTCCAGTTACTATGCTTCTCCCATTTGTCTTGCCCTAGTAACATTTATGCCTAGCAACAAGACGGGATGTGTTACTACCACAGATTCTGCACACTGTTCATTCTTATCATAGCAACATCTGTGCCTAGCAACAAGGCTCCACATTTTTCAAGGGTCTCTTGAACGATGTGCTGGTTTTCAGCCAATCCAATGTTTCAGAATTCTGAGCTTTAGAGGTAAAGTTAGTCTATCACATTCTGTCATTTACCCTATGACCCTCCCCTCTTGCATAGTTTCTTTTGTGATATATAGTTTAAAAATCCAGTCTTAGCTTTAACTATACATCAGCTGATGACATTTTCTTCTTAAAGCATTCCATGGAAAAGCAATATGCTCTCCCTTAATAAGCACCTGTGGTGGGGTTCAAGGTAAGACTGGATTTTTAAACTATGATTTCTCGAACAACCCAAGACCACTAGTTTTATATAATGCTACGATACAAAAGAAAAGCTTTTAACCTGCTTTTAACACCAGGTTAAAAGCAAGCATCCCACACAAATCCACGAATCCTCCTGTGACTCTCTAGTGTTACAAAGAACAATCCCCAAAGTGCTAAGGTTTGTTTTTCTGTGGTTAGAAGTAAATGAGTATTTGGATGCTTAAAACAGGTCTAATTTTCAGTAGGTTGGAAGGGAATTTTTATGCCTCCAGCAAACAGTGGAAAAAATGGAATACTGTATAAGCATGTAATTAGAGATGTTATCATGCCTATTCAGTACAATAGGCAATCAAGACACTAATACATATTCAACTGAAACACAGTCACATATTCTATAATTTGATTTAAATTATCTTTGCCGTGGAAGTTGTTAGTGATCATTTTACTCACACATGAACCACATACACACACAGGAATCAACTAAGTACTACCAAATTACTACATGTATTTCTCCAGGGACTTTATGATATAAATATAATTTTTCCTTAGACTCTTTATAGTAGTTCAAAACAGAAGAGAAACATTGAAGAGACACCAAGTTTGAATTAGCCATCCTAACCTTAGCACCTTCCAGATTTTGTGGGATTGCAGCTCCCTGAAATTTTAGCCAGCATGGCACAACCCATATGGAAGGGCATCGTGTTTGAGAAGGATGATCTAAGTAACCATTTAAGGCTATGCTTTCTCCGTAATCTTGCCATAACTGAGGAAACAGTGTTATTTATATAAAAAGGGGGAAAGTATAAGACCGTTCACTGCTAAACAATAAGCTAAGTTACCTTAAATGCAGATATGCAGCCTTATCCCATGTATGTTAATTGGAAAAAGATGCTGTTCGGCTTAGAGGAGCTTACAGAAGAATTGCTTGGAAAATGCAATCTGAGAGCAGGACATTTCAATTATTAGAAGATATGAATCTACAATGAACTAGATTTGGGATATGTCTTGTGAAACAAAAAGATTGCTTGAAACATGGAAAGCTGGGATAAAAGATGAGGATGCCCCTAGTGGATGAAGTACGGATAGTCCTTGACTTACAACCATTGTTCAATGACCATTCAAAGTTACATAAAGTTAAGTAAATAACGTAAAAAAAATACTTATGACCAGTCCTCGCACTTATAACCATCATAGCATCCCCATGGTCATATCATCAAAATTCCAGCATTTGGCAACTGGCATGTATTTACAACAGTTGCAGAATCACAAAATCATACGATGTTCCCAGTTGGCTTCCAACAAGGAATAGGAGGAGTTGGATTTTCTTAATGACCACAAGCTTCACCTAACGCAATGATTCACTTAACAACCATGGCAAAAAAGGGTCTTAAAATTAGGCATGACTCCCTTAACAACTGCTCTGCTTAGCAACAGAAATTCTGGTCACAGTTGTGGTTGTAAATCAAGGACTACCTGCATACAGTATATACTGTAGAACAATATAAATCAGTGTTAGGAAAGCAGCCAGTTTGAGAAGTAGAAGAAGAGAGATATAAATTAAAAAGATAAGACCGAGAGAATGGAGATTATTCATTTTTATCATATTAATTCTCATTGTTCCTCATAAAAATAGCATCTTGTTCATCCTGCCTAATTGTCAGTAAAACTCACACTAAAATTGGTTACATTTCTGTACAAAATGCTGAACATAATGTACCATGCCTGGACAACATCAGCTTTGAGAAGATTGGTGCACCTAAAAGCTACTGCTACACCAGGGGTGTCAAACTGGCGACCCGTGGGCCAGATGCACCACACGCAGTCCATGCCCTCCCCACCTCAGCGAATGGGGAAAACATCACACAACATCACATGACGGCAACGTGATGCCGCGAGTTTGACACCCGTGTGCTACCCCAATCACAGATGTCTAAGGGAGGATCCAGATGAGGAAGGACAATTGTGCCTTTCAAATGTGCTGGATTTCAACTCTCCCAATCCCTAAGCAAGACCACCAAAAGCAGAGGCATCAAATGGGAGATGGCTGTCTGTCTTCCCCAGTGCTGATTGCAGAATAAGGCTATTTTCTTTCAGAACTAAAATGTCCTTGTTACTCCAGGGCTGCCTAACAATGTTATGCTACACTTCTTGTGGAAAAATAACTAGTTTTTGTTTTCTGCCTTAGCCACAACACAGCCATGGTGTGACAACTTTACTGCATTTCCCTTCCCCACTTTCAAGAGGGTAACTCAGTCAGATTTAATAGGTCAATGGGAATTCCCAAGGAAGTATCTTTATTTTAGGAGGGATGGAAGACTGAATATAGAATTGGCTATTTACCATATTCAACAGAATCATATTCTTCATATAGTGTTGCTCTCACACCAGGGAGGACAATACATTTTGGGAGGGCAGGTCTAATTTAAGAGTCCATGACAAAAAATGGACATGAATCCTGGCATTAAAATGTTAAAATAATTCATCCTACTAGCAATAGCAATAGCATTTAGACTTATATACTGCTTCACGGTGCTTTACAGCCCTCTCTAAGTGGTTTACAGAGTCAGCACATTGCCCCCTACAATCTGGGTCCTCATTTTACCTACCTCGGAAGGATGGAAGGCTGAGTCACCATTGAGCCTGGTGAGAGTCTGTTGGCAGCCGGTGATCAGCAGAAGTAGCCTGCAGTACTGCACTCTAATCACTGCACCACCGCAGCTCATATTACCTGACCATAAGGCAGCATGGCTGCTTCATTAGTTTAAAGGTAAGTAGCAATAGCACTTAGACTTATATACTGCTTCACAGTGCTTTACAGCCTTCTCTAAGTGCTTTACAAAGCGCCCAGCAATCTGAGTCCTCATTTTTCCAACCTCAGAAGGATGGACGGCTGAGTCAACCTTGAGCCGGTCAGGAACTTTGCAATGAACTGAATTATCCTGCAATACTGCATTCTAACCACTGTGCCACCATGGCTAAATACAAATGTGAATACTGGACAACTGGAATTTAGAAACTAACAATAATGGGGCTCCTGATATACTTCATACTCCCCCTTTCCTTCCTTTCTGCACTTAATGAATCATCCTTTCCGAGCACAATCCTTCCTATGCATTCAATGAAGCTCCATTCCAAGGATGTGGGCCTACCATTGCACGCTCAGGTTGTATGCAATATGACACAAGATATTGGAATGGTAGGGACTATGGGCAGTGTGATAGGCAGTCATTTGGATTTTGCATTGCATTCTAAGATCCAACATTCACCTCTGCAGGGTGAATTAACATTCATGTCAGGCAATGAAAAACCTTCCAAAATTCTCTGGAAGAGAATAGTCACTTTAATATCCTAAACGTTATTGGAAAGCTGAAGTTTCACAATAACAAGACATACATCCTTCCCCTGGTTTGGAATTTAGAGATTCTTAGTCATGCCAGGGCAGAGATGCTAATCAATATTTATTTTTTCTAGGAAACTTTCCACTTCCTTCACGGTGCCTTTTAGTGGATTGCTTAGTACCAGCCCAGAAGAGTTGTAACATCTGTTCCTGTTTCCTTTTTATATCTGCTCTGACTGCCCGCATCCAAAATATAATTAAGAATCATGGATATTTGTTGCCAAGACATCTTTCCCATAATACTTCATAAAACCCACAATAACTACTTCAAAGCATTTGGCATTTCTGAATAACTCTGGGATACATAATGAAACAAGGAAGCAAATCAGGAGGGCAAGACGCAGGAAGCAGGTTGAATCTACACTTTTACCAGATGGCAGTGTAGCCCTGAGGGAGCTTTTTTGAAAGATAAAACAGCTAGCTCAGCACTCTGCTTGCGAACTGTTGCAGGCCCAGCCTCACCGTCTGAGTGAGTGAGTGAGATGGCTACCTTAGGCTTCTGATCTGGGGTGTGCTGAATGGATAGTAATTTCTATTGCTATTGATTACTAATGATTAAAAAGTCCTTTCTGTCCCAGCTGCCTGAATACTTGGCTAGCCTTAAATTTAATGGTGATCCACCATTGACTGTTTCCAGCTGCTGTTTGTGAGGTTTGAAAGATTACCTTCTCTGCCTCAGTTCTGCCAACTCAGCTCTTTCTTCCATAGCAGCATATTAGCTACACAAATCATTGGTAAGATCATCACAAAGTTCACTCTCTCCTGCTGTTCCCATTGCATGTCACAGGAGCAACAATGAAGGGAACAGCAAACTTATAGCAATCTTGCAATTAATCTTCCTAGCAATCTGTCAACAAAAGGAGGGCACCTGAGTACGAAGAGAAAGGGAGGAAGTTTAGCGGACTCTTCTTATGCTCCCTCCTGCTTCATCCTGTGCCCTTTGCTGAGCCACCAACCTAATCAAACAGGTGAGGGGGGTTCGGACATATATCTAAAGCTATATTGGAATAGCGGTAGGTACTTATTTAGAATAAGGGCAGTCCATGTGGAGAGCAATTCCACACCTATTACATAAGTGATTTTGAAAGATGGCAGAGGATATTTATTTTGCTCTGAATATGGTTATTAAACTATCAACAGTATATAATAGCTTCTAGAATGGGTCTATGACAATTCGCCATGGCCAACTCACCACGGCCAACTTTCCACGGCCAACTCGCTGCAGGACAGCTTGCTGTGGTACAAGATTTACAATAATATCAAAGAAAGGATGCAAAAGGAGGGACAGAATGAAATGCGAGTGGCAAAAATTAAAATATTTTTTTATTTATTTTAAATAATTAAATAGAATTGTTAAATTGTCCCACAGCAAGTTATACCGTGGCGAGTTGGCCATAGCCACTTATCCAGCGGAGAGTTGGCCATAGTGAGTTGGCTGCTGCAAGTTGTCCCATGCCCTCTAAAACAGGAACAGTGCCAAGTCTCTGATGCCCAGGTTTATGTCTCACACACACATACACCTATATAACAACATTAAGAGTGAAAGTTATTTTTCCCACCCACAAAGTGGAAGTGCGAATACTGGTGAGAAAGGAAATGCAGCACCCAATCACTGCCCTTACCTTGCTTGCATTAAAACTGAATGAATAGCACTAAACTTTTAAACCAAACAACAGTGTAATGCCAGTTATTTAAGAGATGATTGAATATATGAAAAGATAGTTGAGGCGAAGTATTGGTTTATATATATATATATATATTTAATTTGATTTATATGCCACCCTTCTCCGAAGACTCAGGGCGGCTTACAATGTGCTCAGCAATATTATCCTGAGGAGAGTGACAGACTTCTGCAGTGCTGTACTTTTGGGATGTGAAAAGGGCCTTAAACTGAAATGATTGGAACTATCTTTTTTTTTTTTTTTTTGGACTCTTTGATAAATATACTACGTTTATGCTGAGCTACAAGGCGAGAGAGTTATGGAATTGGGGCACGCAGATGATCTGGCTGTTACCCTATTACGGTGGTTGGAATTAATAATTTGGATAAAAGACACCTCTATAGACACTATATGGAATACAAATATAAAGTCACTCGGGTGGTTGTTGTTGTTGTTTTTTTTAATGAAGATATTTGCTATTGATGGGGGCAGATGGTAATTGAAGATACCGAACATACTGTTAGAATTAGGATGTGATGTTACCCTAACATGGGTGATGGAGTTTACAATCCAGCTGAAAGACATTACAGAAGATATTATATGGATTACAAGCTTAAAGTCTTTTTTAAGAGGATTTTATTTACATAAGGGAATATTTTTTAGTGGTGTGGGCAGAAGAATAAAGATATTACGAATTATTAAGTATGGTAGTCTTGTAGGAAAGTGGGTGGAGACAGGTTAGTTTATTGATTGTTTAGTTTAAGAAAAGGGATATTATGTTTAGATATGAATATATGTAAAAGATTTGAGTTAAGAGATATAACGATGGGGGTGAAGGAAATGGGTAGACTATGAATTGAATAAATGTTAAATTAGGATTTATTATATAGTTTTATAGCGGAAGGTTGCTTTGAAATGTTATATTAATATACTTAAAAGATTTGATTTAAGAGATATATGTATGTGGGGGTAGAAAAAGGGTAGATTATGAGCAGAAATCGCTAAACTGGGAGATATAATAATATTATTATGCTAAATTAGGAGTTATTATATAATGTTATAGTAGAATGTCATTTTGAAATGTATAGTATAAGGGGGATATGATAATATTATTAGAAAGAAAGGGTCAGCATATGGGGATGGAGTAAGGGGACGGTAAAGTATTATAAAATGTGTTATGAATTTGGGTTTTATTATGAAGAAGCCACAAGGGGAGGGGAGGGGGAGGGGGGGTTAGGGAGGAGGGGGAAAAAAAGGGGGGGGGGGAATTTGTATTTGAAAAACTTTTTCAATAAAAAAAAACCTGAATGAATAGCACCATTTTCTGACTTTATAACAGAAGGGACCCATTTTATAAGGATTCCTCTTTTTTCCTGGATGCCACCCCCAATTTAACCTATGCAGTCTAAAGAGGCCCATTTAAACATGGATATTTTAGGATTGCCACAAAAATGGTTTGCCTCCTGAATTTTAAGGATCACTGTGGTTGTTCATGTACATTTTTATTTTTATTTGTTTTTATTTTTTTAAACAAATAGTCAAAATCTCATGCGATTATTCAATCTCACAAGATGATTTTTTTTTTCATCTAGACTTTTGCAAAATTTCAGGAGACAATTAAAATCTCAAAATATTTTAGACATTTTAGCTAGGTATTTAAATCATTTCTTCTATTTTCTGCGAGAATCATATGGGTTACATTGCCTGTAGGCATCACATTACTCACCACACCAGGCTTATTCAGTGGGCTCAGGGGTGGGTTCTACTTACCTTTACTACCAGTTCGCAACAGGATCGCTCCTGCGCATGCGCAGATCGCCAATGACGACATCTGGGACAGTGGGCGGAGCTTCCCACCGGTTTTACTACTGGTTCTTATGAACCGGTCCGAACCAGGAGCATCCCACCACTGAGTGGGCCTCAAAATTAGTGGCTGAGCTGCAGAGGCTCAATTGTTGATACGATGGTGGGGGAAACTATACAAGGTCATAGAGCAGGGGTGTCAAACTCGCATCGTCACGGTGGCATTACATGACATATCGGGACTTTTTCCCCCTTCACTAAACCAGGCAGGGGTGGAGCCAGCACATGACGTGTCCGGCCCGCAGACCATGAGTTTGACACCCCTGTCATAGAGGAAGCAGATTATCTGGACCTTTTTCAGATAGTGTTCATACCTGGCAGTATTGTTATTCCACTAGGCCAGGGAAGTATTCCCTCCTCAGTGGTGGTATTCAGCCAGTTCAATCCGGTTTGGGAAAACCGGTATTGGTGGCTGCGGGAGGCTCTGCCCACCCGCCTGAACATCCATCACATCCCTTTTTTGACACACTGCGCATACGCAGAAGGTCCTACGCATGTGCAGAGGTGTCACGTGCGAGCAAAGCGAGTGCACACGTGCTCACATTTGCGAACTGGTAGCGAAGGTAAGTCAATACCACCCCTGCTCTTCCTGGTCATATTAGACCTTTTAGTGGTCTTCAGTAGCACTGACCATAGTGTCCTTCTGGGCTCTCTGTGAAAATTGGGCATTGGAGGCCTTGTTGTACTGTGATTCTCTTTCTTTCTTAATGGGTAGTTCCAGTTAGTGCTTTGAAGGAAGGAAGGGTCAGATCAGTGTGTGTACTTTTTTAACATTTACATTAAACCACTGAAAACTTGCCTATAAACTAATGATACCCAACTTTATATTGTCAATTGTTTTAAGAATCAGGATCAGAATTATACAACTGCCCTGGCTTGAGAATGCAATTAGAAATATTTTATTGCCTTTGCTGCCATCTAGTGAAAGTTTGAAAGATAGATCTACAGTACTGAGTTCATTCATCTGAAGCATGTATTTACCCCTCTCAAGTGTTAAGATTAAAGGATTAAAGGTTCTTGTGATGGAAATGAAACATCACACTTGCAATGTTTTCTAAAAGCAAAGTACCTTGAATCACACCTACAAGCCAACTGGCAATCAATGCATCTCCCAAATCATTTTGTACCAGCTGTAGCTTCCAAATGCTCTTCAAAGTCAACCCCATGGAAGGAGGTTTATAATAGTCCAAATGGGAGGTGATCAGGGCAGAAGGGACTGTGGGCAGGACTCACTGAATTCTCCAATGTGAGTAATGGAGATAAATATTTATGACCCCATCTGGTAAGATTTGTCTTCTCTTCACTTGCCTTTAACTTGTGCTCGCTAAACACACTTTTTCAGTGCTTAGCATAAAGTTACTTATGGAGTAGAACTATGGGCATGTCCATGTCTGTGTATCAGACAAGAGTTTGTGAAATTCTTAAGACACACACACACTATATAAACAAACTATGGCAGACACACATTCTATTTATAATTCTGTACATTGTAAATATTTCCATTTGTCACAAAGAAAGAACAAATGATGCACTAAAGCAGACACATGTAAATATTGTATGCTATTTATATAGAAAGGTATTCTACTGCCTATTTTGAAAAGATGACAATTTTAAAAAAATAGTACATTATTAAAATGAACAAAATTCATTTTTAAAATGAAATTATCCGCCAAAACCTGCAATAAATATAAATGATTTCTTTAAACAGCCTTTGGAAAAGCAGAGTAGGGACAATCTAGGAATGATTGACAGAGGAGGGGGTGTTTGCTCAGGTATTTGTTGAAACAAGGGGAATCCTCAGTCTCCCCATTTTGCAGGTCTTAATATCCAGATAGGTAAGTATTAGGATTGATGGTGCCCAAGCCATTTATCACTTAATTTTTCAAAATTTACTAGTTGCATAAATTTAACTTTTCTTGGTATATAATTTGGGCTAAGGCTGCAAGCTAGTCATGTGAAGGCTAGTTGGCAAGGCAATCAAGTGGATGCATACCTGGCTCAAAAACCATGCCTAAAGAGAGCATGTTAATGGTCCCTTATCAAACTGCAGAAAGAGGTGCCTGGGCCCTGCAGTCTTTAATATTTTTACCGTGCCTTAGAGGGGAAGTGAATGACTATTGGATTTTCAGGTAGTGCAAAATTTGGTAGGATACCTAATATTGTAAAATATTCAAAAGCAGTTTGAATATACTAGAGAAAGAAATCAAATGCAAAAGAAAGTTAAGGCATGAGAGCAGGGGTGGGATTCAGCCAGTTTGGACTCGTTCAGGTGAACTGGTAATTGCGGGAGCAATCCCATCCTATATCACTGTGTTTTTTGACACTGCACACATGTGTGGACCAGGAGTGGGTTCTACTTACCTTTACTACCGATTTGCAATGGCGCCACAAGCGCTTCTGCATATGTGCAGAAGCGTTTTGATGACGTCAGTGTCAGTGGGCGGAGCCTCCTGCCAGTTTTACTACCAGTTCTATAGAACCGGTGCGAACCGGGGCAACTCACCACTGGTGTGGATGGCTCGAGCGAATTGCAGTGTTTTTTACGCAGTGCACATGTGGGCGAACCGGTTAAATTATGTGAAGCCACCTCTGCATGAGAGGTAAGGGTTCAGAATTATATACTGCTAAAATTCTCACTGTTTATTTGTTCGTACCCTCAAGTTAACACTAATGGTACACTTTAAGGCAACAATTTTTGAATCAAGGTATCTGAAACCCACTATCTTAAAGAATGGGTAAAAAAAAATCTGGGATTTATGACTCTGATAGTATTGAAATGTCCACAATGTTCAGATAAGTTTTATTTGCAAAGTTTTAGCTGTTGCAGCATCTCCTCAATCATGCTGATGCTCCCTGCCAGTTGATAAGTGAAGTCAATGGGAAACCAGCAGGAAGTCAGAAGTCATTCTTGTTCCCACTGCTTTTTTTGCCCACCTGAGGTCTTTCAGTTCATCTGTTCAGGAAGTAAATATTGATTTCTTATTGAAGTTCATCTGCCACTAGAATTATTTTTATATTTATGATATATACCCTTCTTAATGATCATGGGACCATCCAGCATTGGGGTAATATGGTTAACCTAAAATTTAATGTTCATTCTGCATTATCTTTCTCTCAAAGGATGACCCAATGGGTCACAGTTGTCTTATAAAATCAAAAACTTATATACTTCAAAAACAAAAATCAAGGCACAGGTACAGAACAGGTAGCAGTAGATATGAAAACATTTTTTTTTAAAATTTGATTTATATGCCGCCCTTCTCCGGAGACTCAGGGCGGCTTACAATGCGTTAAGCAATAGCCTTCATAC